AATACCCAACCTTTAAACTTTTTAGGGTTTAGGGTTTAGGGTTTGGGGTTTAGGGTTTAGGGATTTAGGGGTTTGGGTTTAGGGTTTAGGGTTTAGGTTCTTATAATTTAGTAGTAATCTGAAAGTTTAACATGCTTTCCCCTGGCTTATTGAGGAAGTAAGACTAAGCTGCGGAAGGGTTGGGCGCGGATTTTGCTTGATTTGGGTTTGGGGTCTCGGGTTTAGGGTTAGGCCTCAGGGGCTTTTAGGGTTTAGGGTTTAGGGTCAGGCTTCAAAGGCTTTTGGGGTTTAGGGTTTAGGGTTTACGGGGGCTAAGAGTTGAGTGCAGAAGGTTAGGGTTGCGAGTTCTTGTAGCAGGCTTCGGGGGCCTTAATGTTTGAGAGGCGTAGGGGATGATGGCTGCGAGGGTTTTGGGGTTGAGGGTCTTAGTAGGGCCTTACCCTAAACCCGAAACTCTTAAACCCTCGTGAGTCTGTGGTTAAGAATCTAAGGGCCTGAGGGGTTTCGGGGTTTAGGAGTGTAGGCATCTCTGCTGGCAGCTCAGGGTGGGCCAATCGGGTTGGGGGTACTTGAAGGATCATGGGACTTAGTAGGTAAGGTTACAAGTCCCCTAATTGGGGTTATAAGTATAGTTACCTTAGTTATAACCCTACTTACTAAGTCCCATGATCCTTCAAGTAAGCGGGTTTGGGGCTCTTAGGCGTTGGGGTTCAGGGTTCAGGCTCTCTTTATGGATCAGGTGTTTAGGTGAAGTGACCTAGGGAAGCCTGAACAACATCCAACCCAATTGAGAAAGCCTAAACCCCAAACCCTAAACATAGGATAACCCCAAATCCCCAGAGCCCTACACCCCTAAACCCTAAACCCTAAACCCTAAACCCTAAACTACCCGACACCCTAAACCCCAAAGCCTTAAGAGCTGAGCCCTTAACCCCTAAACCCTAAACCCTAAACCCTAAACCCTAAACCCTAAACCCTAAACCCTAAACCCCTAAACCCCTAAACCCTAAACCCTAAACCCCCGAAGCCTTAGAGTCGATTCACCGAGGAACTCCGCTGGTTATGTCCTGGCCAAACGTCATCAAGCATGACCCTGGGGGTCCAGGGTTTAGAGTTTAGGATTTAGGGTTTAGGGTTTAGGGTTTAGGGTTTAGGGTTTAGGGTTGAGGTACTTCTCGAGCAAAGGTCCAACTATTTTTGGGTTTTTAGGTTTTCATAGGGCTTTATAGGGTGATATGGGGACCTGAAGAATTACCAACACTTTATTGCATAAGTGTTCGATAATATAACTATACCACAGTGGATTGTCTAACCGTATAGGCCTCCAGACGAGTACTTTGCAACCTGAGTCCTGCCCACATCTCTGTAACAGTTAGATAAGACCTAAAGTGTAACTATCGTATAGCCCTTCTGATGACCCCTAGCATGGACTGTTACAGGGCGGGGGCGGTAACATAGAAGCCTGCACAACTACCAATACTTTTCCCTAGGGCTCCTTGTTATAATTATACACTGAAGGAGCCCGCAGCCTTATTCTCACGATATTGCAGTAAGGCCCCTATACTAAACCCCTCAAAACCCTTTATTTAGTAACCCTTAAAGGAACCCTTCAGAGGAGCTCCCTACGCTACCCAACAAGTACTGCTTTGATTTTCAAAGGGACTTAAGGAAAGGACCAAAATGGGTTTAGGGTTTCAACTCCGCGATTCCCAAAGGGTCTTAAGGAAAGGACCAATATGGGTAGCTACTTCGTAGGCTCCTTAAAGAGTACACAACGTCATGGGGGCCCGTGTTTTTCGAGTAAATACACACGTGTTTTTTGAGATGTTTTCAGCTCTATCCAAGATAAGGACATATGTATGATATCAAATAAGAAACTGAAATTAGATGGTAGTGATTCTCAAGAACGAAAAATGAGTTTCAGATCGATATTGACCAGC